CTGGAACTTCCATCCTCCTTCCCTCTTGCCTGAAGAATGGACCTACTATGCTGAGGAGGAGAACCCACCTCACAACCGTGATGGCAAGACTACATCTTCAGGAAGAAAGAAAGATACTGGAAAGAGCATGAGTCCTGCTGCCTGACTTTGGACTCCTGCCTCATTCTTGTTCAGCTAATCTGGTAAATTTTCCACTATATATATTCAGATGTGATCCTACTATAATGATAATACAGTAATTGATAATCCCAAATTATCAACAGGAAGTAAAATAGGGATCTGATACATGTAAATTACAGGTTCCACCATATTAACATGCCCTTATGTTGAACCACAGTATTTTTAGATACTTTAACTCACTCATTCCCTAGCTTTACACTAAACCTAACTGAACAGATCTAGACCCTATTGACCTTTTCTTTAAAGATACTATAAAAATTCAGGGAATAAATCAATGAGTAATATAAAAATTGTTTACCAAGAAGAAATTTTTCCAAAATAGTTTTGGCTGCCAAAAACCATATGCAAGTCCTGTTTTTCTTTGTTTGCTGATTCCAGAGCCTTCTGACCAACATACCTTAGAGTACTGATTTGCCCTAATAGCTTACAGGTGTGCGAAGCTGCTGTTTCACTTTAGTTCACAGGTCAGTGGGGTAGGGCCCAGAGTGCTCAGAGCCCTGAGGGCTGGTTGCCTCAACCACAACAGTCCCATCCACTTACATCAGTATACTGTGCAAATATTCTCAATTGTCCATGTGCATCACACTGTGAAAAAGTTTGGGAAACACTACCTATATGTCAACTGGACGTTATCAAAATAATAACTGCAATGGGAAAAATTACCTATTTACAATACTGGATGGATCAAAAATTAGCTCACACACATAACATCATTTTATTCTCAGTAAAATCATGAGTGGTCAGTAGGGCACTTATGTTTATTATCAAAGTTCAAAGCTGGGTGATTTCCCATGAACACACCGCTACTAAATGACAGAGCCAGGACTTCTGAAACCAAAGACTTCTACATCTAAGCCCTTGCTTTTTCTGATATACCTCTGACATATCTTTTCCTAATATACATTGTACAATGACATTCTAAGTTTGCACAGAATCTTTAAAATTAGCATTTTGACTTCATTCTCTGAAGAAAGTTCTGACGGTTTTCCTTTGTTGTCTCTTGTGACTGCTATGTAAACATTAGCATGTATGGAAACTGATACTCCCTTGGAACTCAGCAAGATTGAGAAAGCACAACACAAAACGACATATTCAGGCCATACCAATTTTCTTTTTACAGCTCCTACCCCCAACATCCAGTGAGCCAACCCTAGTTATTTTGTATGAGTAGAAAAGAGAGCTTTTGCCCATCACTCGCTCCAAAAGTGTGTATTAAAAAGAAAATATTATGTTGCCATTGACTATACTTAAGTTTTGTTTTGCCAATCACAATTTCTCAATGTCCTTTCCGTAAAAGGGAGAAATAAAAGAAACTGCCAAAAGTAAGTTACATATTTAACATATAAAAGCAAATAAGACTTTTAAACACAGGGCAATTATTGTCAAGAGATATTACTGAAATAAAAAGAACTTGTTTGCTACTCCTGTTTTAGAAAGCTAGACAATCAAGAGTTCAGTCACTAGAAAATTATTTCTTCATAGCAATGCAGAAACACAGAGAACACATGCTCAAAAACAGGAAGGTATGAGGGAACATTTAGAAGTTGCTATAAGAGATCAGATTTAAAAGCATGGGCAATAGCTATAATATTAACCAAATATTAATTCACTGTTCAGAAAGCAAGTGCATGATGGAATGGCTGAGCATGCAGAGCATAAGACAGTAAGTGTAAGCAAGCATAAGTTACAGAATATAATAAACACAAAGGTTACGGAAGTGAGTTTGCAGCAGGTTAGAATCTCATATTTAAAGACATTGGCTCCAGATCCAGAACACCTGAGTTCAAGTCTTGGTTCTCTCACTTTAGCAGTTTGGTGATGATAACATGCTTAAGTTTTTGGTACAGAAAAAGCATTGTTTTCTTGATTGCATCAACAATTAAGATAAAATCTAGATAAATTGAGATAAGATTAATAAATCTAGATTACACAATTAAGATAAAATCATAATACAAAAACTAGAATTCTTATTTTAATTCCTTGTTTTCAATATTGCTTTGCAACCAAATTTCATCAACCACAAAATGTGTACAAGGCATAAAATAAGTTCTACCACCCAGTAACAATTAAGCCAAGACTGTAAGCTAGAATAACATAAACATAACACTGTGGGCAAGTTCATGGTAACTAGTTCCACAATAGGCTAAGCACATTTGAAAGGCAATGTAATTCTTCCAATACATACTGGGATACAAGATTGAGTCACCACTGCCCCAAAACTATCCTACCACTTTTTATCCTGAGATGTCGATTAAACATTTTCAGCAGTTAACTGTAAACATGAACCCTACTTCTCAGGATATTTGACTTTTCAATGTATAAAATAAGGATTATGTCTATACTGGCCAAATAAAAGCCTGTCTTTGGAAATAAAGTCTTTTTGGTATCTACAGAGGTTAATCAATGGATATATGTTCCACTGGTGAGCTCCCACATGACAAATTTAAGTAAGCACATCTTATCCAACCTGTTTAAACTGTGCATCCTAAGTTCATCTAAGAAGAAATGTACACTCAGGATTATAAAATGTCTCTGAAATTTAAAAATATACTAAGATTTCCACAAATTCTTAGTTTTTAATCTTCAATTGCTGAACTTATAAAATTTCCTAATATAAACATAAATGTACATAAGTGTTTTCAAGTGTGAATTCACATTTAAAAGCAAGAAAATATAATATCCTAAGCAATCATGAACAGAGAAACTAATAAAGAATGAACTGCTGGGTGAATAAACGCCTTGGGTGAATATTAACTGCATACTCTTACAGCATGACTTCAATTCCCAGAATAATAGAGGTACATACAGTGTTACAGGAAAGCTATCCTAATAACCTCAGCTAAAACACACCATCTTTGTCTGTTTCTGAAATCATGCATTTTAAGAATAACTTCCAATTACATTTTCTTAGTACTCAAATTTACTTTGAATCAAATCACTGTTCTAAGCACTATACAAACCATATTAAACTTTCCTAAGTCAATATTCACTCAGAGCCAACACACACATGTATTCTCATAAAGTGTTGTACCTTCATGAAATGGGACAAACTCCACAAATTTCCTTGAGTAAATTTTTAGTTAGCAAACAGGTTCTGTACGAAGCAAGGAAACGGTTCATTTTTGTGGAAACTTGATTCTGTTTCCATCTTGTCAGGGTTTTATTTTCCATAACCAAACATAGGAAAGGTCAGCAGTGTGCAAAGGAAAGCACACATGCGTGGGATGCTTAGGAGGAGAGCCATGCAACCTGCTTCTGAGGGATCTGGACACTCCCCCCAGTGAGGCACAGCAGGGGGCGGCAGGAACAGTGGGAAGCCCTACCATCTACTTCAGCTGCGCCTTCTTGAACCGAGGGGTCCACACACCTATGCACACATTCAGGAATGAATGGAAACTTGGTACGTTTTCAAAGTATGCAAGTTTTATGTGTAAGGTTTAGTAACTTTCCCTCTCAAACAGACACAGGCTCAATACACACTAATGGAAATAAACTTTACAAAAACTATAAATAATATTGAATTTGATACAGAATAACACACAATGAATGTCCTCATGTGTTATATCACAGTTCTAACTAGAAGTGAGAACATTTAGATTTTATGATATTTAATTAGATAGTTCCCCCAAATCAGCACAGCCTACTTTACTGGGATGTTTGGATATTATCTTGCATACTACAAATTCATTCAGATTCAAAAGGAAATACAAGAGGTCAAAATATGAAACTACTTAATGGGGATTAAAGTACAGCATAGACAATATAGTCAAGAATACTATAATAACTTACTATGTTGACAGTAACTACACTTATTGGGGTGAGCATTAAATGATGTGGATAACTGTTGAATCATTATGTTGAAACCAATATAATATTACATCAACTATACTTCAGTAAAAAAAAAAGAGAAAAAAATTCTTCCTAGAGGCAAAATGCCAACACCTTCTCTTTTGTAACTTCCATAACAAAACTCAAGAGAAATGAAAGACAAGGTCATGACATACTGCCCATCAGCTGTACAGGTGAAAAAAAATGTTATAAACTATTGTGAGCTGTAACCACTTAGAGTCCATTTCTTCTGGGCACCTCTTGCCTGGTAAGTCATACTGAACCTAGCTTTCCATAGAGAAACTGAGGCTCAGAAGTGGAATGAAAAGGCTGAAACCAGAATATCTATTAAGATAAAAGTCACTAAAATCTCCAAGCTTGGGCCCTACTGCCCATCACTGACTGCGAAATAGGAAGGCTCAGTAAAGGATGTACATACTTTCCAAACAGCCTCTTAACCAAATTTCAACTGGCAGGGGGTGGAGGTATTTTCTTACAATTAGCCCTAAATTTAGTGAAAAGTTAAGAATTGTTTTATTTTTAAATTGTTATATAACAAACATTAATTTAGTGAAAAAAAATGAAACTACTCATGAAAATGTGGCAGTTTTCAATCCCATAACATTGTATAACATCTGAAGAATAGAGTTTTTAAGTATAAAATGACAATTTGAAAAGGACTATGTCAACAAAAATCTTACTTTTCCTTAAAGATATTATAACCTCTGAATATGTTGCTATTTTAACAAGGCTTTAACTCTAAGAATATGAATTCTGACAAGCGACTAGAAGGTCACTGTACTACCATGACTGGGAAAAATAAATACTGAAATAAAAACCTCTAACCTTAAAGGCTGGCTAGAATCCAGGTCTCATCAAATTTCAAACAAGTCCAGTGAAGGTGGTTACATCCTCTCTCTAAAATGCCTTTATTTTTAACCCAGTTTGCTGTATCAGTGATGTTTATGTCCCATATTTTGCTAAACACTAACCTGTGATTTTTTGCAGCAAAGGTGACAATTCTGCCTCTTCACAAAAGACCTGAGCCAAAGTTTTCTTCACTTTCTCTTCAGCTTCACCCAGGTCTTTGTCGCCAGTGAACTCTCCACGGACAGAAAAAATATATATGAGGAGAATCAACAGCTCTTCAGGGCTGTAGTCATCATTGGTTCTCTGGTTCACAGGCTTAATCATGGGCAGCAGCTGATTTAACACAACAGACATTGATGACTCCCCAATGCTCTGAAATAAAACGTGGTAATAAGAAACTATGTCAGTCCTGTACAAAGATGTAATTTATGTACTACATCAATACAAAGATTGCTTACAAACAAGCCTGTGATGTTCACTGATTAGATTGCTTCTTATTTGTTGGTTTCTTGTCCTAGGGAAAATACTGCAAGAAATTTGGCATTAGAGTTGTTTTGAAACATCTTGTTTTTAAAATGGCTGGGCAAGTTGCAGAACATTTTATATTATCCTACATATTGCTTATACAAATAAGAGTCCACTAGTTTTAAAATTGAAAGTGTAAGTACTTCAGACACTAGAAATTTTAAATAAAAACAATATATTTGTAAAGTAATGTGATTAAAAATATAAACATGCCAGCATCTTTATGTCCAAATGAATGGACTTAACTCCTTAAGAGGAATTACCTCAGATTTCACAACATTTTCTTTTACATGTTATCTATATTGGCAAATATTAGAGTAGGTTTTTTTACAGCCAAGGAACTCTTTCATTATTATTGCTTCTGTGTTTAATACATAAATATAAAAAGTAACCCAGAAATTGAGGAAAAATAAAAGTCCAAGGGAAAAAGACCAGTGACTACTTAATGAGAGTATTGATCTTGATTTGCCTCCCTTCACTTTGGCATCTTTTCTTCTTTACTTTTTATTGAACAGTACTTGATATACAATATTATATTAGTTTCAGGTGTACAATATAGTCAACATTTACATGCATTATGAAGTGATTACAATAAATCTATCTACCGTCTGTCACCACACAAAGTTGTTACAATATTGTTAACTATATTCTCTATGCTGTACATTACATTCCCATGATTTATTTTAAAACAGGAAGTTTGTAGTTTTTAATCTCTTATCCTTATTTCACCCACCCCCTATGGCCCCTTGTCCTCTGGCAACCACAAGATTTTTCTCTGTATCTACGAGTCTGTTTCTGTTTTGTTTTGTTTGTTTTCTTGTTTCATTTTTATGTTCCTCATGTAATTGAAATTACATGGTAGCTGTCTTTCTCTAACTTATTTCAGTCAGCATAATGCCCTCTAGGTTCATCCATACACACTGTTGCAAATGGCAAGATATCAGGTTTTTTTATGGTTGAATAATATCCATTGTGTATATATATATATATATATACACCACATCTTGTTTATTCATTTGTCTATCAATGGACACTTAGGTCGCTTCATATCTTGGCTGTTGTAAATAATGCTGCAATTAACATGAGGGTGCAGATATCTTTTCAAATAACTGTTTTCATTTTGTTTGGTCAAATATCCAGAAGCAGAATTGCTGAACGGTATGGTAGCTCTATTTTTACTCTTTTGAGGAACCTCCATACTGTTTTTCATAGTGGCTGCTTCAACACACATTCCCTTGTTAAACTATCACCAACAGTGCATGAGGGTTCCATTTCCTTTTCTTGGCATCCAGCCAACACTTGTTATTTCTTGTCTTTTTGATAATAACCATTCTGACAGGTGTGAGGTAAGAGTAGCTTTTTTTGTATCAATGAAAAGTCATTTTCTGCTAAATCTGGTGACTAGAATAACAAGAGATCAATCTGAGTAATGTCACTTAAGGTTCAGGATATCTTTGGTGAGTCTGAAGATAATTCACCTTAAAGCTTAAAAAAATCTTGCTTTTAACTCTTCCATCAATTTCTTGAGTGTATTTAGAAGAATTTCAAAATCCCTTGCATGTGATAATAGCATTGCATTACTGGAATAACAGCATAATTTCCAAGGAACTATATATACTTCTAGAACAAATTCTAAAATTTTTGGTGAATAGGTAAACCCCCATTTTAAATAATATAATTCTATTTCACTTATAATATAAAATAACCCTATAAAATAAAATATAAACCTAGTTATTTGTATTTATGTTAAATCAGAGGCCAAAGGATCACAACTTGCAGTTTTCACAGTATCCATTCAGAAGTGTTCACTGAGCATCTACTATAGTCCAGGTACTATTCTGGGTCTGAGGACATAGTAGTGAACAAAACAAATCCCCTGCCCTCATAGAACTCACATTCTAGTTAAAAAGTTAAAAGAGGTAAAAATATGTAGTATATTAGATGGTGGTAAGTGATACAGAGAAAAGTAAAGCAGGAAAGGAAGGTGGGAGTGTGTGTGTGTTTGCATGAGTGAATATGCACTATTTTAAGGAGGAAAAACCATATTAAGAAGGGAGTATTGGAATAAAGGAAGACCTATAGAAACTCTCTCTCTGAATGAAGTTGATGGCAAGCAGCTAAATGTGATTCTGTATTGAGATGACTATCAAAAACTAGTTTTTCTAGTCATTTCCACACCTGGAAAAATTTGGATATATCAACTCAAGGCTAAGGTTCACAATTATAGTATTTGGTACATAAAAAACAGCTGTTACAATTTATTTTCACTAAAATCTTGAATGTTCACAATGTATCAGAAAAATGAAAATACAATTAAGTCTTTGGAATGAATAAGGTACAAGTGGAAAAGAAAAGAATGGTGATTTTACCATTACATGGTGACAAGACATGATTTACCAAGGATAAAACACACCCATTTCTCAGAAGAAATGGCTGAAAGGTTTGAAGGCATTCTAGTACTGTCTTATAGCCTCAGGAGTCTCTTGAGAGGAACAATTTAAGTGTTCTTTGCTTTACAAGCTGCCAAAAGCAATTTAAAAGAAAGCCATCTGGTTGGTCTGTTAAAAGAGGAGCCATGGAGCTGCAGCTTTCATTTTTCCTTTTCAACTCATCACCAACTCGTTGGATGATGTTAAGTAGATTATTTCACTGCTTTCTATCCCATTTCTAAAGAGCAGGTGTATATACCAATCATCTATACTATTGGAGCTCTATGATTCTCCCCAGAGCAAAAGGATTTTTTCAAAGATAGTTATAGAAAGCAAAACACAGTAGGATTAGAATCAACAGCTCTTCAGGGCTGTAGTCATCATTGGTTCTCTGGTTCACAGGCTTAATCATGGGCAGCAGCTGATTTAACACAACAGACATTGATGACTCCCCAATGCTCTGAAATAAAACGTGGTAATAAGAAACTATGTCAGTCCTGTACAAAGATGTAATTTATGTACTACATCAGTACAAAGATTGCTTACAAACAAGCCTGTGATGTTCACTGATTAGATTGCTTCTTATTTGTTGGTTTCTTGTCCTAGGGAAAATACTGCAAGAAATTTGGCATTAGAGTTGTTTTGAAACATCTTATCTTTAAAATGGCTGGGCAAGTTGCAGAACATTTTATATTATCCTACATATTGCTTATACAAATAAGAGTCCACTAGTTTTAAAATTGAAAGTGTAAGTACTTCAGACACTAGAAATTTTAAATAAAAACAATATATTTGTAAAGTAATGTGATTAAAAATATAAACATGCCAGCATCTTTATGTCCAAATGAATGGACTTAACTCCTTAAGAGGAATTACCTCAGATTTCACAACATTTTCTTTTACATGTTATCTATATTGGCAAATATTAGAGTAGGTTTTTTTACAGCCAAGGAACTCTTTCATTATTATTGCTTCTGTGTTTAATACATAAATATAAAAAGTAACCCAGAAATTGAGGAAAAATAAAAGTCCAAGGGAAAAAGACCAGTGACTACTTAATGAGAGTATTGATCTTGATTTGCCTCCCTTCACTTTGGCATCTTTTCTTCTTTACTTTTTATTGAACAGTACTTGATATACAATATTATATTAGTTTCAGGTGTACAATATAGTCAACATTTACATGCATTATGAAGTGATTACAATAAATCTATCTACCGTCTGTCACCACACAAAGTTGTTACAATATTGTTAACTATATTCTCTATGCTGTACATTACATTCCCATGATTTATTTTAAAACAGGAAGTTTGTAGTTTTTAATCTCTTATCCTTATTTCACCCACCCCCTATGGCCCCTTGTCCTCTGGCAACCACAAGATTTTTCTCTGTATCTACGAGTCTGTTTCTGTTTTGTTTTGTTTGTTTTCTTGTTTCATTTTTATGTTCCTCATGTAATTGAAATTACATGGTAGCTGTCTTTCTCTAACTTATTTCAGTCAGCATAATGCCCTCTAGGTTCATCCATACACACTGTTGCAAATGGCAAGATATCAGGTTTTTTTATGGTTGAATAATATCCATTGTGTATATATATATATATATATACACCACATCTTGTTTATTCATTTGTCTATCAATGGACACTTAGGTTGCTTCATATCTTGGCTGTTGTAAATAATGCTGCAATTAACATGAGGGTGCAGATATCTTTTCAAATAACTGTTTTCATTTTGTTTGGTCAAATATCCAGAAGCAGAATTGCTGAACGGTATGGTAGCTCTATTTTTACTCTTTTGAGGAACCTCCATACTGTTTTTCATAGTGGCTGCTTCAACACACATTCCCTTGTTAAACTATCACCAACAGTGCATGAGGGTTCCATTTCCTTTTCTTGGCATCCAGCCAACACTTGTTATTTCTTGTCTTTTTGATAATAACCATTCTGACAGGTGTGAGGTAAGAGTAGCTTTTTTTGTATCAATGAAAAGTCATTTTCTGCTAAATCTGGTGAATAGAATAACAAGAGATCAAACTGAGTAATGTCACTTAAGGTTCAGGATATCTTTGGTGAGTCTGAAGATAATTCACCTTAAAGCTTAAAAAAATCTTGCTTTTAACTCTTCCATCAATTTCTTGAGTGTATTTAGAAGAATTTCAAAATCCCTTGCATGTGATAATAGCATTGCATTACTGGAATAACAGCATAATTTCCAAGGAACTATATATACTTCTAGAACAAATTCTAAAATTTTTGGTGAATAGGTAAACCCCCATTTTAAATAATATAATTCTATTTCACTTATAATATAAAATAACCCTATAAAATAAAATATAAACCTAGTTATTTGTATTTATGTTAAATCAGAGGCCAAAGGATCACAACTTGCAGTTTTCACAGTATCCATTCAGAAGTGTTCACTGAGCATCTACTATAGTCCAGGTACTATTCTGGGTCTGAGGACATAGTAGTGAACAAAACAAATCCCCTGCCCTCATAGAACTCACATTCTAGTTAAAAAGTTAAAAGAGGTAAAAATATGTAGTATATTAGATGGTGGTAAGTGATACAGAGAAAAGTAAAGCAGGAAAGGAAGGTGGGAGTGTGTGTGTGTTTGCATGAGTGAATATGCACTATTTTAAGGAGGAAAAACCATATTAAGAAGGGAGTATTGGAATAAAGGAAGACCTATAGAAACTCTCTCTCTGAATGAAGTTGATGGCAAGCAGCTAAATGTGATTCTGTATTGAGATGACTATCAAAAACTAGTTTTTCTAGTCATTTCCACACCTGGAAAAATTTGGATATATCAACTCAAGGCTAAGGTTCACAATTATAGTATTTGGTACATAAAAAACAGCTGTTACAATTTATTTTCACTAAAATCTTGAATGTTCACAATGTATCAGAAAAATGAAAATACAATTAAGTCTTTGGAATGAATAAGGTACAAGTGGAAAAGAAAAGAATGGTGATTTTACCATTACATGGTGACAAGACATGATTTACCAAGGATAAAACACACCCATTTCTCAGAAGAAATGGCTGAAAGGTTTGAAGGCATCCTAGTACTGTCCTATAGCCTCAGGAGTCTCTTGAGAGGAACAATTTAAGTGTTCTTTGCTTTACAAGCTGCCAAAAGCAATTTAAAAGAAAGCCATCTGGTTGGTCTGTTAAAAGAGGAGCCATGGAGCAGCAGCTTTCATTTTTCCTTTTCAACTCATCACCAACTCGTTGGATGATGTTAAGTAGATTATTTCACTGCTTTCTATCCCATTTCTAAAGAGCAGGTGTATATACCAATCATCTATACTATTGGAGCTCTATGATTCTCCCCAGAGCAAAAGGATTTTTTCAAAGATAGTTATAGAAAGCAAAACACAGTAGGATAGTCATTATAATCTTTTGAAAAGTTTCACTCACTAACATTTGGCCATCAGAGCATGATTTTCAAGTTTCTGATCTAAGAGATATTGGTAGAGAGCCATCTCCCTCATTAGTGATACTCTAGCAGACTTCCGTTGACTAGGTAATATCTGTGCACACTAATTTCTAAAATTACATTCTAATCTGATTAATGCATTCCAAGCAGTTAATTATTGAATTGAATACAAAGCCAAGAATACTGGCCAGTCTTAAAGTGGCATGAGATATGGTAGAAATTAAAATACTCCACTTCAAAAAGTCAGATTCCAATCCTGACTGTTCCATTAACTTGTTCCTTAAGCTCTTAGGATCTCAGTAAGCTCTTTAGGATGTCTTCATCTCTAAAATGACATGATCTGACTAGCAGATGACAGAGTTCTTAATACACATATTTATGCCACGATCTCCATTTTCACTTTCTTCTCCCTCGTTACCCCCTTTTTTTAACACTACCATTGATGGTAGAAGGTAGTGAATTATATTTTCATTGTTGGCTACACAACAATAAAAATGATCACAAAATAAAATCTTTACTGTAGAAACAAATGTAGATACATAAATATTTTAGGTATGGGTATATATGGGCTGATATATATACATATATTTCCTAACTCTGTCCACTGAAAGAATCTAGAAGTAGTGACACCCTGTAGCAATGAGCACACTCACTGGTCAGATCTTGGTTTCTAATATCATTGTAAAATAAAAGGAACCAGGGATCCTTAAGGAAACAGCTGATCTAGGGATGGGGCAGGGAAAATATAAGAGGAACTGAAAGATCTTGCAGTGCCAGAGAGTAAGGGAGTCCTTAAAAAACAAAAGGATTGGGTAGGTTGGCATGTCAAAAGGACATAAGAGACAACTGGAAGAACTCTCAGTGGAAAAAGTTGGAACAATTTGAGAACCAAAATAAAGTAGTAATGAATTATAATCCAAAGTATCATTCCATAGCAAAACACACCTGACCCTTAAACAAGTTAAGAGGGGATTAAAAGAGGCAACCCCTCTGCACAGTCAAAAATCCATGGATAATCTTTGACTCTCCAAAAACTTAACTACTAAAAAGCCTACTGTTGACTGGAAGCCTTATCAACTACATAAACAGTGTATTAACAAATGTTTTGTATGTTATATACATTATATATATATACAATATATACAATATATATACAATATATATATTACAATAAAATAAGCTGGAAAAATGTTTTTCTCTAGTCACAAATCTTCAAAATATTTTCCAACATATTCAATGAAAAAAATCCATATATAAGTGGACTTGTGTGGTTCAAATGTGTGTTGTTCAAGGGTCAACTGAAAATAAGTTATTATAGTGTAACAACAAGAAGGTGAAGGATATAGAGAAACTTCTTGTACTATCTTTGCAACTTTTCTATAAATCTAAAATTATTGTACAATAAAACATTTACTGGAAAGGGAAGCGGAGAAGAGAAAAGGAGAGAGGAGAGGAAGGGAGAGGGAAGGGAAAATATTAAGAGACAAATTCAGGCATATTTTGATCTTCTTTCTGTCAGACTGAAAATTCCAGGAATGACAATTTCAGCTCAGTGTGAGGAAAAACTCACAACCAGAGCCATCAGCCAATGTAAGGACTCATTTGGGAAAAGCAATGAACTTGTCATCAATGGCACAGGAGGCAGGGTGATCACCTAGCAAGGATGAAGAAGAGGGAATCCCCTGCCCCCTTGGTTAGAAGGTGAACTAGACCTTCTTAGTGCTACCCATAAAAGCATGGCTCCAGACTGGATGTATTTCTATTTTCTGATCTTCTCTGCTCTTAGAACTCCAACTAGAAGGAAGAAAGAGATCAGCAACACCCTAGAATGAAACCTCTTCAAAGGCGAAAGAAAGAATCTGAGAGGGACTAATCTGAAGGATATGGGAGTAAAATTATATGCCTGAATACTGTCTGCACCACTTATAAGCTGTGTGACCTTGTGCAAATAATTTACCTTCTCCAAGTCTCAGTTTCCTCATCTGTAAAGTGGAAATAATACCACAAATGCCTGAAT